TGAAAAAATTGGAGATTTTTTTTTTTTGCCATATTGCCCAGCCCTAGCCTGAGGAACACTGACTAAAACCATCAGGGTCTGGAATGATGATCAATGACAGGGATTTAACTCTCTGTCCTCGACCATCAGCAGATCAAGTCACATATGACCTGAATATAGCAAAGCTCTTTGAAACTCAATGTCTCCCAAAACAAGGTGCTGTGTTGGAGTGGGGACAAAAAAGCTGCCCCACAGCCCCTGTTTAAGCCCGGGGCATAAATGAAAAGATGGTGAAGGGGGTGAAAGCCATGGAGCATTTGGGCATCCCGCTGGAAAGCCACACGACCTTCAGCCAAACATCAAGGCCGTGTACACAAGGCACAATAACTATTTCTACTGAGGAAGCTGAGGAGCGCCAGCCTTGACATCTCGACTGTTAGCTCTAGAATCATCACACAAGCAGACAAGATAACAGGGAAAACTTCAAACAATTTGACACAACAAGCAGCCAAACGGCCAGAACAATCACAGCTGATCTCTCCCATCTGCACTGAACCAGGATTTTGAGTTTCTCCCATGAGGCGGACTTTACAGATCTACAAGAACTAATTTGTTCCAAACGGTTAGCGGTGGATGCTCATTGACTATAGTAATATTTGATTTATTATTTGACAGTCATCTCAGGCCAAAAGGAGCATAGATGTTCCTCCACTGCCCCGTGATAAGGCGGTCCTCTGGTGCTGCCCTATTATTGCAGTTATTAAAAAAAAAAAAAGGGGTGTGAGCAATAGTGATGAATAATTTAAGTATTAACTCAAAATGTATTTGGATATGGACATTTTTATTAAATTAATGTAATATTAATTTTTCACTGAAATATTGATATTTTGCCAACAAACCAAAATAATTAAAAACATAGTTACACATTAACTGCAGGACAGTGCTCTTCTTCTGCCAGTCAGTGTTTTCAATATAGTGAGCGGTTACAGTGGCTCGCAAACTCTACTGCATTAGAGTTAGGTGCTGTTTACACAGAGGTGCATTGGCCTTTTGTTTACATGAAGACGGTGTTTCGGGGGTGAAAACGCAAGCGTTGAGAAACAGCCTCCAGGAATGGAACAGATACGCTGTGTGGCGGGGGGCTCTTTCACAGAAGTGTGAAGAAAAAGGTGTGATTTCTCTGCCTACAATGACCTCCAATTCCTGCACGTACACAGAGGAGAATTCTACTTGAAACCGAAACCACGCAAAGCTGTAGTTTCAGTTTCGCTGCTGCTGTTAAATGCAGAATGATGTTGGTGCATTCCTTCACGTTTCTGCGGCGCCTGTGGAGGATATTGTTGAAGTGAATATACTGCTGGGGGGGGGGGGGGGGGGGGGGGGGGGGCTCACCATAGACTTTATATATTAACGGATGTAGTCACGCCTATCTCCGCGCCGTTCAAACTAATGGGCTATCCAAAATGGCCGCGAGTGGTCTCGCCCCCAAGAAAATTGTGAAAAGACGCATCTGCGCATGCGTCAGCCGGCGAGAGTCCCATTCATTTGAACAAGTGCCTTCAAAAATTCACAGCAACTAAACCAGAGTGGTCCAAAAAAATTCACTCCCCTCAGCATTGACACACACGTGGAACGGAGCTTTGGGCCAAGAGCCAACTTTTGGAATTCTTATTCCGGGTCCACCCCCTTCGGCCCGGGGTGGTATTACAAGCATGTCAGCGCACATGAACGAGGTGAAATTTTCATAAGGAGCCTGGTAGTTTCTGTTGATAGCGCTAAACGGGGCCTAAGGCTGTTATAACTTTTAAATTAATTAATTTCCTCCCCGCCTGCTTGAAGGGGTAGCTCTCTTTGTACCAAAAATTATTCTATAATTTTTACTTTTTCATTAAGATTATTTTGTTGCAGAAAACCAATATTTTGCCTAAACTCACCGTTTTATAGAAAATACAAATACCGCAACGTTAGGCTTAAATAAGCATAATCTACTGTATACATTTTCCCCTTGCCTGTGCATGTGTATCAAATGTTAATAAACACAAACAAAAAGCGCTCGGCGCCTCAGGTCCCGGCTGGGGATGATGGCAGCGGCTCATGCTGTGGTGCGGCTAGGCCTGCTCCACATGAGAAATTTTCAGAGGTGGTTCTCGCGCCTCAGGCTTCACCCCTCCCGGGACGGGGGGAGGCTGATCTGGGTTCCCCAAGGGGCAGCATCGGACATCAGGTTCTGGCTCACTCCGGGTCTACTGCGGGACGGAGTGACTCTGGCCTGCGCGGTGTCTCACGCCGAGGTGTTCACGGACGCGTCGCTCGAAGGATGGGGCGGGGTCCTCGGCCAGAGCTCTGTAGGAGGCTGCTGGTCGGACTCAGCCCGTCACATCAACCGCTCAGACAACACCACAGTGGTCTCCTATCTGAACAGGCAGGGGGGCACCAGGTCCCCCGCTCTCCATCGCATGGCGACGGTGACGCTGCTGTGGGCGGCGCTTCACCTCCTGTCTCTCAGGGCGCGCCACGTCCCGGGGGTCCGGAACGTGGGAGCCGACAGGATGTCCAGGGGGGGCCCACTCCAGGACGAGTGGGGCCTGGCCCCACGGGTAGCCGCGGAGATCTGGCGGAGGTTCGGTCGTCCAGTAGTCGACCTTTTCGCCAGTGCAGAGAACGCACAGTGCCCGTCCTGGTTCGCCTTAAGGGCCGCGGACGAGCCGCCTTTAGGCGTGGACGCTCTGGCTCATTACCCATGGCCAGGCGGCCTGTTGTACGCTTTTCCACCGGTGCGTCTCCTGCCGGTCCTACTGCGGAGGATCGAACAGGAGAGGAGGTCGGTGATTCTGGTGGCTCCGGACAGCCCGCATGCCCGGTGGTTCCCCTTCCTGAGGGGCATGGCGGTGATGGAGCCCTGGGCCCTCCCGGACGAGCCGGGGGCTCTAGTCCAGGGGGCAGGAGCCCTGTTTTCACGTCCGATAATCGGCCGCAGGCTCTGGGTTTGGAGGTTGAGAGGCGGAGCCTCGTAGATCTGGGTCTTCCCCCTGCGGTGGTGGAGACAATTCAGGGAGCGAGGGCGCCGTCCACCGTGAGGGCCTACGCCACGAGGTGGAGGCTATTCAGTGCCTGGTGCGATTCCCGTTCCTGGGATCCCAGGTTTTGCCCGCTGGAGGGGGTCCTGGGATTCCTACAGGAGCTTTTCGACAAGGGGAGGGCTGTCGCTACCTTGGCGGTGTTTGCGGCAGCCATTACTTCAGGTCACGACGGGTTCGGGGGGTTCACAGCCCGCTCTCACCCGTTGATTAAACGTTTTCTGCGGGGGGCGCGCAGGAGGAGGCCCCCGCTCCAGAGAACGCCTCCGGTTTGGGACCTCAGGGTGGTCCTTAGGGGGCTGTCGGGTTCGCCTTTTGAACCGGCGGCGGAGGCGAGTCCCGATTGTATCGCTTTTAAGACGGCCCTCTTGCTGGCGTTGGCGTCTGCAAAAAGGGCGGGCGATTTGTGTGCGCTCTCAGTCCATGCGTCGTGCCTGTCCTTTGGAGAGGACGACGGCATGGTGGAGTTGTGGCCCAATCCGGCTTTTCTCCCCAAGGTCATCACGTCGGCCTTTAGGTCGAGAGTGATCAGGATTAGGGCTTTCCACCCGCCGCCGCATGCCTCCCCCGAGGAGGAGCGGCAGCACCTTCTGTGTCCTATCAGAATGCTGAGGCATTACCTGGCCATGACGTCGTCATTCAGGTCGGGTGATCAGCTGTTTGTGTGTCTGGGCCCCAAGAACAGGGGCGCCCCGCTGTCGGCTCAGCGGCTGGCGCATTGGGTCGCCACGGCGGTGCGACGGGCGTATCAGGCGCAGGGCCTGGCCCCCCCGGTGGGTTTCAGGTCGCATTCCACGCGTGGGATGGCGGCCTCTACGGCCCTTCTCAGGGGGGCGTCGGTCGAGGACGTTTGCCGTGCGGCTTCTTGGGCGTCGTCCTCCTCTTTCGTCCGGTCTTATCTTTCGGATGTGTCGGACCGGTCGGTGGCCCATTCCGTGCTGAGTGCAGCGGATTGAGTTGGACCGTTGGGTCCCTCCCCTGAGGAGTGGGCCTTCGGTCTATTTTTCCGCCCTGGTGCAGGAGCTCTTGGGAGAGGCATCCTACAGGTGCGGTACATATATGTGTGTTTGATCGGTCTGGTAGTCTACATCAGGAGCTCTTGGGAGAGGCGTCCTGTGACTACGGTTGACCTACGATTGGTGTTACGTGGGGGCGTCCTTGGTAGGAGTGGCCCGGTAACACGCTTTGTTTCTTCTGCCCTGAGTCCTCTCACGGTGTGAGGGTCTTGCTCGGGCGGAGCTCCAATCACCCTTCGCTGGCCTGCTGGGAGTACATGTTCCTACGGCCTCCGCGTTGTGTCCCACTAGCGAAGTCCTAAGGGACGTAGCACCATGACGTAGAATTAATAGTTACCTAATGTAACTTAAGTTCTACGAATAGGTGCGTAGTCCCTTAGCTACGAGCCCATCAGGCCAGCCCGGCTTGGCAGAGTTCAAGAGGGGGTGCGGCCTTGTGCAGGGGCATTTATAGAGGAAGGTGGCTGGTGATTGGAGCAAATTATTTTGATCTCTCTGGCGTCTGTGACCTGGGGGTCACGTGATATCCCACTAGCGAAGTCCTAAGGGACTACGCACCTATTCGTAGAACTTAAGTTACATTAGGTAACTATTAATTACACTTGGACAAATGTGGCCTGGTGTGGTGCCCCTACTCCTCCCCTCTGCGTCGTTCCTTTCATTCTCTCCACTTCCCTCTTGTCTTCCGTGCAAGATGGAAGTACAAACCCGACATTATGGCGACAGTGCATGACCTACATCGAGGGTTTGTGAGTGTATGGCGCGAAAGGCATGGATGGCATGGATGCTAAACCATGGCGCGCAAAGGTTTAGTTATCGCCAGCAGCGCGCATTGGAGAATCGCAATAAGTTATGGTCGAATCACCCCGCCTATCCACACGCTCCAGGCGCAGATACCAGTGAGAAAGACAAGCAAACCATGACTCACCTGGTTCCAAAAGCGGTGTATGATGGCGCCGTGATAGTGGTGTGTGTTAATGTGGGAATAGTGCGGTACATTGGAGGGTCCCTGTTGTGTGCAGCGGGAAGGAGGGACCAGGCACGGGGAGGAAGAGAGAGGGTCTGACGTGAATGAATAAACAAGCGAGCTCCTCCTCATCACCACGAACTGAAGAGGCCAAATGTGCTTCACTCAGCGCCTTTTCGCAACAATTAACCATGGCCACACTGGATTTATTCAATATCGTGTTAGCCTGCCGTCTATTTTAACTACGGGGAGTAGATTTACAAAATGGCTGAATTCAGCCACAAACTTACCGACATTTGATACCATCTTTTAAATTATTATTAATAATGATTTATGATTTTAAAATAATCTTTGCTTGTTTGCTGCTTGAACTGTTGGTGTACGTTGTTATCAAAGACCACAAGGGGGCGTTCTTAGGCTGGTTTAGCAGGACACTGATCAAATTCCTCACTGATCCAAATGACCAAACCACCGGGCATTTAGGGTGAGCTTCTCTTGAGGATAACATGTCTTTTTAATGTTTTACTTGTTGTATTAAAAAATGATATTGCTCATCTGAACATAGACATTTATTATAAAGACAAGCTCGTGGTTGTAACCCAGATATTTCTTGATCTAACTGAGACATGTGGACGTGTGATCAACATAGGGGTAACAGCATTTAAACCCGGGGTCTCCAACATTTTTCTATTGGAGAGCTACTTTTAAAGCAACTGTAATGGCAGATAGCTACTTTTTGCAGTGTAATTAAATTACATTTGCTTGTCACAACTGTGGGAAATCATAGACAACACTCATGTAAAATGTACCATATTACTGCATAACTTCACATTAGTGAACAGAACGTATTGTAAAAATTGATATGCAATTTGATCCAAATGTATATGCAATTTGATCATGATCCAAATGTAGTCATTTTGGATCATGAGTCAAATTTCTGAATCCTTTGGGGGAGCTACCTGATAAGGGGTAGCGAGCTATTGGTTGCTCCCCAGGCACAGGTTGGATATATACAGTCTATGTTGGAGACCCCTGTGACTGTGTGATGTAATTCAGATCTTTGCACCAAAATGGCAGGATGAATGCAAAGTCTCACCACAAGAGGGTAGAAGTACTCTATATTTATTAGCTCTAGAGTTGTATTATTTTATTTTATATTATATTGTTATATTATATACTAGGATATTGTTATCGTCTCAGTGTCTGTTGGCTGGACTGCACAAAAAATTGAGGATTGAGCTGAAATTAGGAGATGGGATTTTAAGGTATGAAAACTTGATAACACATTTTTTTTTTTAGCCCGAGCTCCACAAGCTATGTAGTATACTTTTGGATTCATCATGCACAAAAGTGGACCACTCTCAGCCCAAAGTGTTGTATCACCTATTCAAAAAATGACATTTTTTCTAATAAGATAAATCATGTTGATGTTGGATTTGTTCACCAATATTTTACTTTTAAGACTTTTGGGGACAACCTAAATGTATTATTCATCAAACAAAAACTTAGGTTCCTTATTTTTAACTTAAACAGTTATTATTACATGTATTTGCTTTTTGTTATCATCCTTTTTTTGTTTCTTTTCTCCTGTTTATTCAGTGAGTACTGTACCATTATTTGTAAGTGTTTGACTTGTAAGTGTCTTCTATGCTCCTTTCTTCATTTATCTTTCTACCATAAACACAAACCATAAACCTAATAGAACAATATGAGAGCACAGTGAGATTCCTGTAATGCCATTACATGTGTCCTGTTTTTTATCTTAAATGCATTTATCTGAAACCTTCTTAGATAGGCAGTGGTTCATCGCATCCTATCATTATGACTTTGTGATAAGTGCACATGCATTAGGGTCTTGGACCAGAAGCATGTTGCACAATGAATAATGTGAAACAGACTCAGAACATGCTGGTGGAGTGCCATGTGCTCCTCATTTTGGCTTCAGCTCGCCAGGACCTGTCTCTGATCATTTTCTTTTAAAATTATACATAACAACAGCAGTGATGTCATCGCTGAGACATGATTGTGTAACCTTTGTTTTGGACCTCAAAAGAGACACATCACATAGAAAAGAAAAACATTGCAATTTACCTCAAGTTAGTCAAGGTTCGCCATATATTTTCTGAACAAAAAAAACAAAAAACTGTGTAACCTCTCTTTCCTAATGCACTTTTCCATGCAGTCCTTTATAAATGGTTTCTATTCTTTAAACTAAGCACTAAGCAAACTGACAAGGTTAAAGCCGTTTTACATTTCACCATTTTAGATTAAAAAGCCATTTCCTTGATAAAGACAAATCCCAGCACTTGAATACGTTGAATGTGTGGTCACAGTAACCGGTCACCTCCAAGATAATACTGATTTAACAGTCTGTCATGTTTGATTTCATGCATGACTGTGGCGCTCAGCACGCTGCATTTCTGTTTGCCGTCTCCACGTGTTTCCTTTACTATTGCGGTAGTGCAGTGTTTTTGAATCCACTGTGAATGTTTGTGTTAGGGTGTAACGCGATGACCTCATCCTCTGACAGTCCAGAGATGCACAGGGCGTGTAGAGCAGTTAAAGTTCACATGTTCATATTCAGTTTGACTCCATCCCCTGAGAGTGAGAGCTATTGCTCAACCCACTGTTACACATGCACACACTGTTGAATCAAGCTGCATCAAAACTACAATAATAATGATGTATTTAATGTCAGCAACTCACTGTGACAAATTAAAAAGAAGAAGCTACATTGTATTTTTATGAATGAGTGAAGGGTTTTTAAGTAAGAGTGGCTGGGCTCTCCCTTAGAGATAGGGTGAGGAGCTCGGTCACACGGGAGGAGCTCGGAGTAGAGCCGCTGCTCCTCCACGTTGAGAGGAACCAGTTGAGGTGGCTCGGGCATCTGTTCTGGATGCCTCCTGGACACCTCCCCGGGGAGGAGGCCCCGGGGAAGACCCAGGACACGCTGGAGTGTCATATGTCTCTCAGCTGGCCTGGGAACGCCTTGGGGTTCCCCCGGACGAGCTGGAGAAAGTGTGTGTGGATAGGGAAGTCTGGGCGTCTCTGCTTAGACTGCTGCCCCCGTGACCCGGCAACGGATGAAGTGGAAGATAATGGATGGATGGATGGATCTTTATTCATATAAAACTTTTTTACAGACCACGGTGAACCAAAGCGCATTGCAATATTCCGAGCTCAGATATTGTTTCAATCTCTCCACACACAGTCATGACGGAAGAGAGACGCCAAACACACTGGTGCATCAAAACTGGGATACCAGAGCACCCGGAGGAAACCTGCACAGATACAGGGAGAGCATGCAACCTCCACACAGAAAGGTACTGTTCTGTCCGGGATTCCAACTCAGGACCTTCTTGTTGAGAAGCGAGAGTGCGATCCACTCAGCCACCATACCGTCCATTATCGTCACTTTACACGATGGAGGTAAAGAGTGGCTAGGAAACACACTTTTGCATATTTGTCATGTTTACAACGACATAAAGGTTTCATTTTGGATCTGTGTTTTATTTTTGTTAAGAACGCCCCACAGCAAGCATCAGACGACCGCGAATTGAAAGCAAAATGATAAAAGATATACTGTGGTTCTGAGGCATCACAGGACAGCTGTAGTTACACTGACAGTAGATCACACACTGGTGGGATCTATTTCACACATTAGGACAAGAATGTGTGAGTCCACCTCCTGTGGACTCACCACCTGCAGAGGGTCAGTGAGGGGCTGGTGCTATGAGACTTGGGTGGCATCTCTGACTGCCACCCCCCTGACCCAGAAATGGATTAAAGGGTAGAAAATGGATGGATGGACAAGAATATTTGTGCAAGGCCTTTTTTTAGTTTTGAAATAAATAAGAACACAAAAGTTACTTTGTTATTTTCTTGTGGTCTTTAGCATTCACTCCTTGAAGAAAGCAACGTAATGTTTTCTTTTTGGGATTTTCTAGGATGTAGGAGCACTAATGACATACATAATTTGTTTTACGTTTTTTTATAACGTTTGATGGTACAAGTGCCTAAAACCAAGTGAGATGCCCCGTAGAGGTATACTGTATTTCAGTTCCAAGCCTGCTTAAAGTAGATATATTGACTCAAAAGCTGATCTAATGGTTGAGGGAACCATTAAGTGTTAAAAGCACTTTCTGTTTCTGGTTGTAAACATGACAAAACGAAAAAAAAGTTCAAGTTCTGTTAGTACAAGTCACTATGTAGTATTCAAATAGCTTAATGTACAGCTGTTGGGGTTTACACGCAGCTCTGTACATTCTCACATCTTCTTTTATCTTTCCTATTTAAAAACCCTTGTAAGTTAAAACATATTTGTCTTATAAAGGGCTGTGGCATGTGAAGTATGGCAGCAGCGCAGATGCCAGAGTGGGGTCATGGTGTCTGCAGAATCCCACACCCGTCAGAGGTTTATTATAGCGCAGGTCGCTCTTGCCCCCCCGAGGAGTGAGGCCAATAATTAGCACATGGGTTTCCCTCTGGAACATGGTACACCGCCCCTGGACACAGCACCCTTCACCAAGCAGCCAATTTCAGCAAAACAACCACACTTAGCTTATCAGGGCGGGAGGATAGATTGCGATTAGGTTTGGGGGTTTTGAAAAGAAAAACTGACTGATGGATTAGTGATTTGAATGTTTATGTCTATTATTAACCAGTGGAACCTGAACAGAAACATTTACACTTGAGCCTTAAAGTTAGTGCTTCCTACTCTCATTTGTCTCCATCCATGTGTTCAACAATATTTATGGACATTTCTCAACACTTGATCATCTGCCCCTTATGGACCAATGGCTCTACGTGTTTTTTTCTTGCGTTTGATTCTCTGATTTGTGCCTAGATAACTACTGTTGTGATTGAAGAATAATTTGAATGGAATTGAATTGTGTGATCTTCAATGGGCAAAACCACATAATTAATTTCCAGCTCTCACAAATCCATGGTATATATATATGTATAATTCGTCATGGAGGAAAAAGGAAAATTACCCAAATCACAAGTCTCCAAATTAATGGATTTAATAAAATAAAATAAAAATAAAAATGACTGGAACTTAAAGAGACAAGGACAGAAAGAGGAGTGAAGGAACAGGAGTTTAAAGTCATGATAATGAGACACATGTGAGA